ATAGTATCTTGGGCCCCAAAACCCTATTGAAATCAATAAGGCCCCTATATTACTTGGGGCCTGGGCTGGATTTGCTTGAGGGTAAGGCTGCATCTGCCCACCCTCCGGCTCCGGTCACACATCTCCGGGAAGTACAGTAGTTAGAAGAATCCTGGCCATGCCCATTCGCAACAGCACAATGTCAATATTCATCGTATGTCGTCTTCATGCGTGGTAGTCTTCAGACTTGTAGTAGAAGTGGCAATGGTCTGCGCTCTCACGATGAAGCGGCAGGGAGTTTCCAGCTCAGGTCAGCAGACCGAAAGCCGAACCGCTCGTAGCCACGGGGACCCTCACTGAAGCCCTAACCCCTAACCTTCCTTCGCCCAAAATACCGCATAAACTCCCTGGACTGAAATCGTCAAAGTCCGTGTTAAACCTTACTACCCGAGTCCTCCTCACCATAGTAGTGGGCTCGTCGGGGCTCGTCCGACTCGCCAACTCCTGCCGGCCGAGCTGACGGGGAAACTTTACGGGCTGTCCCTAAACGGTTGCTACAAGGAATCACATGGGCCACAGGCTGAACGCTATGCTTGCTTGCTGCTTTAAAGTCTCAATTTTCTGGAGGTCATCAACTACCACGGGCTGACGTCACTCATGGCCTGCATCAACACCATCGTCGTCTCGTCGCTGTCAGATGACAGCCGTCACCAACTGTGTTCGACACTCCCGCCATCAACATCCACACCGCTGGACACAATCTCCATGATAAAGGTCAGCTGAACAGCAGCATCAAGGAACGAAACGGCACAAGAAATGTTGGTACAGCTTGCACTCTTGCAGTTCTGCCATCGTTGCAACATGGGGACCTGACATTCAAATTTGCTTCACACCCCAGTCTTCTATGTAGCAGCCATCTGCAGAAACATGATACAGCCGAGCAGTACGAGTCACCCTCATGCTAATCCCTGAAAGCAAAATCCTAAACCCTGAACCTTAAGGACCACACCCGATTCGCTGTCGATGTTTACCCCAGCTCCAGATGTGGCAACACCGGGCCTGATTCGCCACCATCGATGAAGTCATAGGAGCGGACCTTCTAATCGCAGTCCAACTTGCCCTCATAGATTGCAAGAGAGAGAGAGAGAGAGAGAGAGAGAATGAGGAGAAAGATAAGTAGATAGGTAGGTAGGTGGGCAGATGGACAGGTAGGCAGATAAATGGATTGAGATAGACGGATGGATTGAGCTCGCCCAGCCCGGATTGCGTTTGAATCTTCTGGGCTTCCGCTGCCAAGCTTTGGAGTGTTTCGGACGCCACCTAATCATCTCTGCTGGCAGCTTGACCCTAAACCCTAAACCCTAGACCCTAAACCCTAAACCCGACTCGACGGTTATCGGGCTTACTCGAAAGAACAGCCCTGGGCCGACCCCGCTTTGATAGCTAGGACTGCTAGGACTCCGAGCCCGCATGCGCCCGAAGAGCAGCCTCCCGAAGACGTGCATACCTCCGAGTAGGGTTTAGGGTTTAAGGTTTAGGGTTTAGGGGTTTAGGGTTTAGGGTTTAGGGGGCAACACCGAAGCTCCCACAACTTGCATGGCAGCGAGGCGCTGCAAGACCCGACCTGGGTGGTCGTGCGCAGGGATCTGTGCACCGGCACGCAGAAGAAAGATGCAGATGGTCCTGGCATGTCTGGGCACAAAGCAGCATGCTGCACCTTGCCACGATAACTCCACAGATTGAGCAAACTCAGCAGGCTGACATGTCGGCACCAGCATAGATCTCCTGGTAGGCCACGCCAGACCTGCCGGTCGGAAAACTTCTTGGACGGCCCAAGAATGTGTAAGCTCCAGACGCAACACTGCAAAAGCACGTAAAGACGTAGTCCGAAGAAGTGCCTGCTGCGTACTCTGGCCGCGTCGTCTGGGCTCACACCTGCAGGCCCGGCAGCGAGCGACAGAAATGGAAAGCATCGGAAACTCCATGCGAAGCAGGGCACCGAGATCTTGCGGGGTCAAGCTCGACAGACAGCGCAGGGCGCGTGTCAACGGGTACCTGGCCGGGCCATTTCCATTGAGACGCTGAAGGACGTGAAGCAAATCAAGCTCGAGAGAGTTGCCGGCGGAGGGCGCGAAAGAGGCTCACAGCTGCCTCTAAGACACTTTCATGTGCACATCAGGCTTGAAGTGTTTGAGTGATTCAGCTCACTGCACGTTTAGAGTTAAGGGTTCCAGGCAGAGACTCCAAAGGTTTAATGCCTTGCTTGAAGCTGTGCTCTTGCATGAGGCTCGCCTTTTGGAAGGCCAAACTTTTACTCCCGGTTTCATGGAAGCAAAAAAAGGTGTCCGACTTGCAGGTGTTCTGCTTGCCATTGGCGTTGATGGTGTCGTGGCTGGCGTCTCTGCTGCTTTGATCGCACCGGGAAGTGTCTGGATTTCGGGTCTACGGTACTCGCCTCTGGACTTTCTTATCGTGAACCTCACAAGAATGTGTAGTGTGTTGGCATAGCAAGCAACAGGCGCCATAATCATCGCACAAGGCCCTCATGAGCTGCGAGACGAACGGGAGGGGGGGCATTTTCTCTGCGGATCTGGAATCAAATTCTTGGAGCCAGGGAGCATTCTTCCGGCGGCCATGTCTCTCTTCCTTGTGGCCTGCCCAGGATGAGGAGTGCCCATGATATCAATGTACCACGCGATCCTGGGGTCTTTAGCACATACGCATATACCCAAGGTTTTCGAGCCGACATATTCGATGGACGCATCACATAGACATGTGGTGCAAGATAGATGCGTAGATAGACAGACACCAAGACAGATGAGCATCTTGTTGTGCATGCAGGATGGTACTAGCTCTCTCATGCAAGACGGAAATGATCCTGCTGTGTCGGATGCTGTTGCGTTGGTGTACCCAATCCGCGCACATGCCCTCAACGGCCAAAGACCGGCCGGCCTAGCATCTGTCCACAAGTAGCGGATGCACCGCGGCCTCACGTCCGAACAGCCATTGTTGCCGCTCACGGACTAGGGTTGGTGTCTCAAACAGATCTTGACGCTTGCTCTTTACAAGCGGTCGCGGTGCTGGCGGCAGCGCCGGTGGAGGTAGCCGTCGCCGCCAGTAGTGCCACAGCAGAAGCAGCTGTATGGCAGCCAAACGTAGTATCGGCAGTAGGTCATCGTCATACAAGAAGTAATAGTAGTCGTCGTCGTCGTAGTAGCAGTCGTAGTCGTCTTAGTAGTCGTAGTCGTAGTCGTCGTCGTAGTACTAGTGCTCGTCGTAGTCGTAGTAGTCGCCGTCTTCGTCGTAACTTTCGCTGTACTCTGCAGGTTCTTTCGCAGTGTGAGGCCCCCTTTTTTGGAGGGGGGAAGGGGGCTGGGGGGTGGTCCTGGGCAGAAAAAAGACCTTAAGGCCTAGTCAAGTAGTCCCTCAACCCTAACCATAAACCTGAATCACGAAGCTGTGCTGCTAAGGGTCCGCGCACAAAAACTAGTGTGTTTAGCGACGAGGAGTGCCGAAAACTAGCGGCAAGGCCGAGGAATTCTTGCATGACTCCGCTCCGGGTGTCAGAACTCAGAAAACAGTTTTGAAGCTACTGGCCACGGAAGTACTTACAGGAAGATTCCGTGTCTTACGCAAACAACTCACACTCACATAGGGACCCAGAAAGGAACAGAACTTCATTAAACATGTTTCCTATGTGATTTGTTTGCATAAGATGCTGAATCTGCCTTGTAGCAGCAGCCGCAGCAGCAGCAGCAGCAGCAGCAGCAGCAGCAGCAGTAGCAGTAGTGGTGCTAGT